GTGTTTTGCTTAAAGTATCCTTTCGTAGTTTTGAATGTAGGATTTTTTTTACTTCTTGTTACCTGCCCACAATAGGTAAACAGAATAGGTCACATTTACAAATAAGGCACTAGAAGGTGCATTAGGGAATAATTCCTTTGAAATCTATTTTATACATAAAAACAACAAGTGATAATTGTTTGCAGTCATTCTGGCTAAAATACTGTCCGCAGAAGAAATAATATCCATTCAGACATAGGCTCTGTGGCTTCTATGCGTGACCCATAGTAACTCAGTTTCGAGAAACTGACTCTTTAAATGAATGTTGGTAGCTGCTTCCAAGTTAGACTACTGAAAGAAAAGGTATTACATCATTGTCCAAACATGTCTACTTAAATAAAATGTATTTGTTTGCGAAATATGTATATATATATATATATATATTTTAAGTCTTTCACACAACGATCAGTAGGCATGCCATTTTCCATTTCAGTCTAAGCATACATTTCAGATGTGGAAAAAGCAAGCATGTTGAAATAATTTGAGGCATGGGTATAGTCGGATCAGTCTTGGTAATCCATAAGGGAGGGGTGCCCAGTGTATTATTACATTTTGTATATTATTTTTCAAGAGATGGACGCAATCAGTCATCTTCTCGCATATGGTTTGAAAAAAAAAATGTCCTGCTGGCAAGTAAACTGTTATTTAAGTACACAATCCACTGTACTACAGAAACAGTTTTGCCAAACTTGTCCAAGTATTCTCACATCCTTCAAGATGGTATAAATGTAATTTATAGCAAGCCGTTTACTTCAGACTATATGGAATGCCTTCCTGCTCCCCTGATCTAAGTGTCCCAGTTTGCATTATGGCCTTTATTGCTTCTGTTTGATGGAGTGATCAGTAAAAATTTAATGACACTATAAAATAATAAAAATGTCATTAATTTACCTCGGATCTTGGATGCAGTGGTTGTAAAGTTACATTAATAAACAGAATATTTTTTACAACAAAAAGCATTGTTACGTGGGAACGTATAAATAACACACATAAATTTAAGAGCAATTTTACTGTTAGCACACACATTATTATGGAATAGCCAATAAGTGTATAAAACATAGTATATAAAATTTTATGAAAATATACTGTGCACATCAAAAATTCAGCTTTTATCTAAGTGCAGAGAAAAGCCATTATTGTGAGCTTACTGTTTTCATTGCTGTTCTCTCACAAGATCACAATTTTATATTTGTTTGTAGGCATTTGAAGTTTGCAGCTTTTCCAGAGGAAAGGGCTACTGCTTCCTTTGCCTTTTGTCCTTGCTTTACTAAATCGTGCTTTTACCTTCTGCACATTAAAAAAGAACTAACACGTTTGGCAAGAACATGAAGAAAAAGTTGCTTATTTATTTATTTTTTTAAAAAAAAAAAGGGGGAAAAAAAGCCCAGGAGTTGATGGGCTTGCTTGGCAACTGCAAATAAGGGATAACTATCTGGCAGTCTATCTGTCATCACTGAGGCTGCTCCATCCATTGCCTGTGATAGTATGTGAGTATGATGGATGCCGCAGCCTTGTGGCTCGTAACATTTAACATTCATCAGCTCTCACTAACGGGGGCTTTATAATTTAAATATCTTTATTTAATATGCAACATCTACCTCATACATCATAATTTCAAAGCACTTAGAGAACCAACAGTCCTGCAAGACAGTGGAGCAGACTTTAATTTTTTCAATAACTTTTACGTTTTCTGCATGTTTGTGACTGACAACGCATAAATAAGTGCCTAATCATATCACAGAATGGAAAATTAATATTTGGCAGTAAACAAGTTTTTTTTTATTCTTTTGATTTTAAAGAAATTCTATATTAATTGGCGAAGCACAAGGGATCTGTGCCGTGCAGGGAGAGCTTTGTGATTGCAGTGGAACCTCTCACTGACAGTGTTGGTCTAGTCGGATGAAAGAAGGTTGTCAGTGCCACGTTCTAAGCCCTTTCTGTGCTATTTAAGTGGGAAAGCTCTGTGTGCCTGTACAACGTTAGCTGCTGAGCCACTGTGAAAAATAGTTCACAGTAGGCATCCAAGGGACTTTTTCATGGCAAGCAAAACACCTGCAGTGTCGGCAGAGATCTACTTAATTGCAAACTCACCGAAACAGGTCTGAGGAAGTGTTAAATAGTCAGAGTTCCTATGGCTGCAGGCTCGGGAGATAGCAATATAACCAGAAGCCTATGTACATGTGTGCAAATACAATGCATGCGTAAGCAGTATATTTGCTAATGTATCTAAATATAGGCATTTCCTTTTAATGACGGTGTGTGTGCTGTTTGTACTAGGGAAAAGGTATAATATTAAAGGAATATTAATTTGAACAACTAATCTCTTTAGGATGAACGCAAGGCAGGGGAGTAAAGACAAATCCTATAAAATGGTAAGGATTAGAGCCTGTTGGGACAAGTTTTCTCTCAAATAATAAATTACATATGAATTTGTTACATTCTGATGAATTTTAAAGACATCTACTAGATAAAATCATCCTTAGCATTGAGAAACATTTTTTACATTTCTTTTGAATTTTTCTAATCCCTATACAAATATTGAATTTTTTTTTTACAAACGCTGTGAAGATTATTTTCAGTAAAAAATGAAGCATAGAAATGACTTTAAAAGCATTTCAAAGATTTAAATACAGTTAGCTTTTTATAGTTTTATAAATTAGGAGGAGGAGGTTATTAAATAACCACAAGTACAATTCCTTTGTTTGGCAAGAGCAGATATTTTCATGACATAAGTGCTTTCATTTTACTGTTCCTGAACCTTATCATGTAATTTTCCCTTTTCTCCTTCCATGTCAAAATATTGATATTCTTTGAGAAACTTTCTTTTTTTTCCCCTTCTTTTTTCACAGAATATTTTCTGGTAAAATCAAAGAGAATGAATGACTAGAAAGATATTTCAAATGTGCATATTGATATGTAGCAGGGTCTGTTGATTTTTATAGCAGAAAGATATGTCTCTTTCTAAGGCACACTTGAAAACTGTTCTTCCAAGAATATTGCAGGTGCTGTGTTAACATCCTTAAGAAAAAGCTTTTAGTGCAAATATTTTGGAAGAGACAATATATGTGCCAAAAGCTGTTTTCTTAGTACTGATCTTTGTTTTTATCTCAACTGCAAATCAGTCGTTTGCAGTGGAATGCAGAATCCTTGACAAACTTATTTTATATTCTGTCTGCCAGTAGAACAGATGATTCAGGTGTGTTGTTACACTGCACAACAGCTTTCAGCATAGTATTAGGCCTTTAGTTTTACTGTGCTTTTCTGCAGTCACATTTCATTTGTAACTCTTTCTTTTCACATTAATTTCTGTGTATATTTAAGCTCCTTATCAACCACAGATTTCTTAGATTTTTTTTTTTAAAAGTTAACCAAATATAAAATGCAGAGTTCTTTTGTTAGATGACTGGAAGATTCTGGGAAAGTTTTAGAAATGCAATTAGTACCTGAAATGCCTAAGCTGCATGTTGTAGCAAATCCGGTGTCAGTTCTGTGCTTCCTTTTCTTCTCCTTCAAATTAAAAAAAAAAAAAAAAAGGAATAGGAAAAGACCCATGTTTGAGGGGATCAAAAGAATTCCTGAATGGTTTGGCTCATGGGGTTTCCTCACTGAAATATGGTGACAATCTAAAAGTAATTAGATTAGAAAGCCAAAATGTTCTGAGGTGGAGCAGACGAAGAGACCATCGAGTATGTTTGGTCCTTGGAAGAACATTTCCAAGTTTCTAACATCTTGCAGGAGACAAACTTGTAATCCTTTCTTATGTCTAGCATGCTCAGTACAGAACTAGGTCATTGAACAATAGGCTGAACAGCAATCAGCACTCTTCTTCTGCATAATGCATTAAGTATAACATGGAGAAACTGTTCGTAGAGCTGAAAGCTGGTATTTCATGTCTGTAAATTCAAGCTGACATGACATTTAATATTGTTTCATAGTAATGAACAACAAGGTTTTATTCATTCACAAGTACAACATAATGCCAAGTTTAGTCTGAAGAGGTAACAACAAGGCAAGAGGGAAAACATGTTATGTTCCTTCAAATGAGAACGCTAAATTAATGATAACCATTGAATGCTTAGCTACTGATACAGAGTACTATAGAGACTACTATTGTGAGACAGTGTTACGCTGTCATTTCTAGTGCCCTCGTCCAGAAGTTGATTGGAGAATTGGGTTAACACGTAAAATACACTTTAGTCTCTCCTTTCCAGTTCCAACTTTCCCATGCTGGTGTTCAAATCTCTAAAGCAGTATGTTTTTCTAGGAGTATGCACTCATTCTCTTTCTCCTTTTTTTTTTCTTTTATTTCTTCTCTTTTTCTTTTTGCCTTTTCCTTTTTGCTTTTTCTTTACTCTGTTTAGATAGAGGTTCCCTTTCCACTGAGGTGCAGTATGAATTCCCAGACAAAATAATAGTATCAGTATTCCTTCTTTCAAATACTTGTCTTTGAAAATGTCTTGCATAAAATTCAAGCTTGTGTTTTCTCAGAGATACAAATGCAAAGCTGAATCTCAAAGTAAGGAAAAGTGCATTTCCATTAAATTAACAGTATACCAACTCTCTTTTCAACTTCTGAATTTTCATGTCTCCCAAATGATTGTTTTTTCCAGTTTAAGTTAGAAAATTTAGCAGAAAGGCAAAGTGAGCAGCACAGATCAGCACTGTTTCCTGCCAAGAGTGTTTCATGTTTGCATGTACAATCACTTATGCATTATGGAGGTTCACATCAAAATGATTTCAGAGTTTCTGTATATGTTTTCACATTAGAAACCGATTTTCATGAATGTGAATACTCAGAACCTGTGAAAGCTAGTCCTAGTTAAATTTCTAATTAAATACACCCATTTTTTTTCTGTTCATATTTAAAAAATAAGGCATGTATCTGTGCATACATGCATGCAGAGGCACATAGTTAAAGCAAAATTATGTGGAGCATTAAGAATATGTTTGTTCTTTTCCAGGAAAGATCGAGGTTTGAAAATTTAGGCCCGCAGTTAACAGGGAAACCCAATGAAGATGGAAAACTGGGCCCTGGTGTCATCGATCTTACAAGGCCAGAAGATGCAGAAGGTGAGTTGCAGTTTGAGCCTGTGTTGTTGAACATGTTGCACATGACTGCACAGAATAGTTGTGTAGCGGACTGCTGCCAGTGTCATAGCACTGAAGAGCTTGCATCCCAGGGGAAACTTCAACCCCCTTTTATGTGTTTATCTGAGATTATAACGTATCCTTAGCAATGGCTGGGTACATGAGAAGTTGTCTCATGCATATATTCTTTAAAACCTCCTGAAATGCAACTTTTTCTCTTTTTTTCCCTAGCAACTAGCAAATAATAGTTTACATTTTATATTTCTGATAAGAGGGTCAGATAAACTGGGAAAATTGTCTCAGCAAAGCAATACATGCATGTATGTAATTTCACCAGTTCTTAAGGATTTAGCAGCTCCGTAGAAAGTTAGAGCTCTTTGCAAAGGTTGCTCACCATTGCACTCACAAACTATTTAAGACATTGCAAACACTATTTTACTGACAGGCAGCTGTCAAACGATAATAGAAAAATGTTTTCTGTATGAAAATGTCTTTTTCATTTTCCCTGATTTCAGTGAGAGTTCTATGTAACAGTCATACAGTGTCAAGCCACAGTAGTAAATGAGTGTTTTGAGGACTCAGTCTTCAGCAGGGTTACTGTGTGTGCTGTGGGAGTGCACGCCGCTGCTGTGTTCTTTCCCCCATGACAAATCAGAAAACAAGATTTAGCCCTGCCAAGCAGTCACTGCACTAAGTTTAATAGCCTATTCCGATAGAATATTATCCGTTTACTTCTCTGTTTTCTAAACAGAAAAATAATGAACAGAAAATAATTAAGATGTAACATATAGATGTTTTGCTATTTGTTTTGTTAAAAAGGGAGTTAGGTACACGGACTTTCAAAAGTGTGTGACAACTTCTCGTATTTCAGCATATTAAAGGAGGTTTCTTTTCAATAAGGATGAAGTGTTGTAACACATAAATACATACTTACAGATGCACTACTAGTGGTTCCTATGGCATAAAGTCCCTGTAGATTTTCTTGGTTTAGCTCATTTCCTTCAGCTCAAGCTTTCTCTTTCTGATGTCCTTAATATAGTGTCCTGATACACCTCGTGGTACTGACAGACCCTCTTGTTACTGGACAGTACAGATGAAACTTTGACATGTGTAACCTAAGCTACAGTGACGTGTGCCAGTTTAAGGACAATATGCATGTCTTCCTAGAGCTAGTGGGGCAGTTTGAGGCGTGGTGTTTTGCCGCACGGGAAATCTGAGTTCATGAATGGATTCAGATTTCCAGACTTTGTTTAGCAGCCAAGAGATGTCTCTGGAAAAGAAGTGCTGGATGAATCCGGCTGCTGATCTGAGAAGAAAAGTATTGGCAAGAGTTCAGAACTGAGTTGCTTATTTGTCTTTCTAGTTGCAGACAAGGTGAACTTAGCTCAGTTATTAGCTGGCTTTATAAAAGATACTAAAATATCACCCAAGTTTCATCCCTTGCCTTTGGCAAGTCTCTAGGAGATGACACTTCTAGCATGGCATGGCTTAGACTGCACTCCCATTGCAAACATTATGGCTGAAATGTCAGTGATTAAACTGTGGCCTCTGACATACTATACCAGGCAATAGGCTGTGTTAGTCTTCAAAAATATAAACACTTCTTCCTAATTGTCGTGAAGCTATCATAGATCTTTCCAAGTTTGCATTTTATTTGTGCTAACGCTGTTTGGTGCTTGGGCCAAGATGGGCTGGATCTGGGAAGTGTTGCTGGTTCCCTAGCTCTGTCACAGTCTTCAAGGTTCAAGTTTTTTGTTTTTTGTTTTTTTAATTATTATTGTAATGAATGACTTTTAAGACATAATTGTTCCTGCGCACTGTGTGAAACTTCTTTTTTAAGCCTACTGGTAGCTAGTTGTGCTTTCAGAGATGACCTAGCAGGTGAAGTGGTATTCAAAGTTTATGTTACATGTAACGGTTATCTGATTGGAAACCATTAAAATCGTATATAAGGGTTTTATATAACGTATTAAATATGGCATAGACTAACATGCCTATTACTGTATTCAAAACATCGTCACTAACTGTGACGCTATTTGGTGGATAATCCCCAGCTCTTAGAGTTATATCATTACCTGGAAATCCCAACTGTCACATTAAAATACATGATATATTTGTAGCTAGCAGAATTCAAAATTATGATTTGAGAGACTCATAAATGCTTGGAGACTGGTATGCAAAAGCAGAAAATAAAACAGATTAGAGGAGAATTAAACAAAGTACAAGCTGAAAAGTTTCACCAGAATGTGGTGAAACACAGTTAAGAGCCGTAGCTGAACCTTGTTTAAATTTGAGGGCTTGGAGGGTGTGATATGTGGTCCTATTGGAGAACATCAGATGGTCTGAATAACTTTTCTTGGTTCTGGCCCTGAAAAGGGGATTCCTTTCAAGGACACTGCCTTTTGCTGACAGGGCTGCTGCTTTTGAATCAGGTACATCCCGTGCTTGTGTAAGGTACACCATGTGTGCAGCCCCTGCAATTTTTGTGCTTGTGGTCAAATGCTTTGGAAGTTTGTAGGAAGAATGTTAAGATTTTACTCATTAGTCAATAGAAATCTTCCGAATAGACATAAATGTCCCTGTTGACATTTAGTGATTTAAGCTGAGGTTGCAGTGCAGTTTTCTGCAGCTCTTATAGTTGGAGGTTTAAATTCCTTGAGAACCTGGTCCTCATTCCTGACAAAGATTTGGATCTGTTAAAATTTTCTTCGTTGGATCCTGGGCTGCCTTGCCACTGTCTCCCTGTGGGACTTTGTAAAAGAGAAATACTCTGTTTTCCCATGTGAAAGATTAGATCCATTGTGAAGATAATTTCAGTTCTATACAAAAAATTCTGAGAAACAGATAAAAACACCATATTTAGCACTAACAGTTAGTTCAGTGTTCAGGTATTATGTTTCAGGGGCTAGTGAGCCTTGTAGTTTGGCATTTGGGACACCATATCCAAAGCTGAGTCCTATTATGATATGTGTTTGTTTTTGTTTTCCCTGTCATGTTTCCCTTTCCTGCTTCTGTAAACCTTGGGTTTAGCACTTACTGCTTCTTCCTTTGGTATTAAATATGCCAGTGTTTGGAAAGTATGGTTCGTGGTGCTGAGAATAGACACATATGAGCCAGTTTAGATAAAAGGAATTTAAAATAATATGGAGTAATATATATGTTTACTGTGTCTGTGCATTAAGCTCTTATTTTTCCAAACCTCCCAAAGATCACTTTTGCTATGAGCTCAGGTGGGGAGTTAGTCACTGATCTGTAGCTTGGACCCCTTGACCTGTGGTTGGTACAGGCCATTTTCTGACACAGATTTGACTTGGTGCCTGTGTCCTCCTTTTGACTTAGTTGCCTTTCAGTCAGTTGTCTCTTAATCTAATTTCTAAACGTCCTGGTTTAAACATTATGTTTTCTGTGTACCGAGCACTGTTTAAGCTGATGAAGGTTCAAGCCATATCTGTTTGATGAAGAGATTCCAAGATTTCAGGCCCTGCTCCAAGCAGGCTGGGTGCAGGCCTTTGGGCCTGGGAGCTGCATAGCCCTTGGTGTTGGACTGGGTGCAGTTAGCTGGAGCTCGTTAATACCACTGCAGCTACACACGGTTGTGAAGTTGGACTGGATCTGGGATCTGAATTGGAGTATAGGAGCACAAATTCACATTTGCTTTTAAAAAGATGTATAACTCTTCAATAGCAAGCGTAAGAACCTGGTTCTGCAGTATTTCACGTGGTGGGTTTGCTGACCAACACAGAAAGTCATTGCTCAGCGCTTCAGAAGTTACAACAGTTTGTCTTTTCATGTCTGTAAAACAAGCACTTCCCATTCATATTTCATTTGGGCAAGTCACACTGCAATGCGTTTTGCAGCATAGTGAGGGATTCCTTCTGCCCAGTAGCAAGGGAAATTGCGTGGTAGAGAAAGAAAGAAATGGTGTGAGGCTTTGTCACAGAGAGAGCAGATTTCCAAAGCACACAGAACAGATGAGTGGTTGCAGTGGCGGCAGCAGCAGTGAATGCGGAATAGCCGATACATATATGAGGGAGAGGAATGAGCTAAGTGGGGAAAGAAAGGGAGCTTATGCACCTCCTTGGCAGTGTAGAAACCCCTTCCCTGCTCTACATGGGGAGAAACGTGAAGAGAGGGTGCAACAGAGGGAGCAAAACGCCTACTAAGGAGGGAGAAACGAATTGCCGCCTTGTCTAGCTCCAAGAATATGCCAATCTATCAAAGCTTTCCTTTTTGCCTCCCCAGGGACAGGGCAGTCTTCATGGCAAGCATGTCAGTTTAATAAATCCCTTAAGCAAAACCAGATCAGCTCTTTCTTAAACTCTTTCTCTACTCTTTCTTTCCTCTACCTTGTACTAAAAGCTTCAAAATGCTGGTATTTGCAGAAAGCAATGCCCAGTAGTGAATAATATACTGCTTATACTAAAGGGTGACAGAATTGTTTTATACCTCCCCCAAAGGTCGACGTTGGCCAGCAAGAGAGGTAAGCGCAAGGAAATCCTATTTTTGTGAGCAGATCAGTCTTGGCAGGCTGCCAACACAGCCCAAACCTGTGAGGTAACTTGTTTAACACCCTGCTCTGCAGAGGTGTAAACAGCAGGTAGTCCATGCATGACAAAGCATCATCTGCTCTGGTGACAGTGCTTCAGAAATACTAGAGGAAAGAATGCCGCTCCGTGCCAGTATTTGTCGCACATAAATATTTGTAATAGTTGCTATGGCAGTTGAGAAGGGAAAGATGAAAATCAGAAAACAGTGAAGGCTGTCTGAAAACAAAGAAGTGTTTCCAGAGAGAATACGGAAAGCTTAAACGCTGGAATTTTTATTCCCCTGAATTCTTGTTACTGGTCGCTGATAAGCAAAATTCCTGTAAGTGTATCTTCATTATTTGAAGGTGAAATAACTTCTTAATATCTTAGTTAATTAGAGCAGATCCTCAGACATGGCCTTCATTAATCACAGTTGCCATTTTTAACGTGTAAGCG